CGAGGGTTGTGTTGCGAGTGAAGGTGTCGGGACATGTGGTGTCTTGCTAGCAGGTGAGGGAGAAGGGGCGCCTGAGGGGGGCCCTCGAGAAGGCCGGGGGGTCCCGAGGACAGTAGGGGGGTGGGGCACGGGGAGCGGCCCCTGGGTGCTCTGATCGCAGGGGTGGCCCCTTGGGAGGGGTGTGAGGAGGAGGGTGTGGAGCCCGAGGTGGAAGCTGGGGCGTGCGGGGGCAGGGGTGTGAGCGGGGCCCGGGGCTCTTCGGCCTTCTGCCCCCGGCCTGGGTGGAAACGGGGGCCCCTTCCTGCCGTCTTTCAGCCCCTGCGGATTCGCAGGCTCTTTCGCCCCTTCTTCTTGATGCAAAACTCCTCCATGATGAAGAAGACGCTCAAGTGCATCAGGTCGTCGCTGCCGGAAATGGCCAGGTGGGCTCGCCGGGCGGGTGGGGTCTCCTGCTCCCTGCTGTGCCGTCGGGGCGCCGGGACTGCGGCCTGGGGAGGCCGCTGGGTGGGTGTTCGCGGCCTCCCGGCAGCCCCTTAGTGGCCTTGTGCCCCCTGCCTGATAGCTGCAGAGCCCTGCGGGTGCCCCCTTCTGCCCCGCTGTGGCCGTGACCCCTCCCCGCCCGCTCTCCTCCCGTCCCTCCCCCAGTGGCTCACACGGGTGACCCCTCACGTTCCAGCCCAGATGGCTGGACGTGGCCTTCCCCTCTGGGAGACGGGTTCCTTGGACCCCCAGGAAATGCTTTTGGGGTCACCGATCGTCCCTGCCAGGGAAAGAGGGCTCCCTTAGGGCGGGACCAGTAGCTGAGCACACGGCGGGCTCTGTCGGGGCAGGGCGCTCCCCGTGCGGTCGGGTCGGCTGTCCCTAGTCCCTTGTCCGCGTGGGGTGCGTGGGGTGTGTGTCCGTGCTGAGCGCCCGCCCCCGCCTCCCCAGTGTCGCGCTGCTGCTGGCACTGCACCTGTGCGTCTTCACCATGCTCGGGATGCTTCTCTTCACAGGCGAGAAGGTACGGTGCTCCGCTCTGACCCGGCCCGGGGCCTTGGGGTTTGGGTGGACAGGGCGGCCCGGGGGAAGCTTCCGGGTCATTCTGGGGCCCGGTTAGGCTGCCTGCCCTAGCCTGGTGACCAGGGTCAGTGTCGGCCCATCCAGGCTCCGGGGTCTCTCCACGTGGCCGGTCTTCCGTGCACCCTTGATGGGGCCTCCGGGTGCCCCCTGCCTCGCGGGCTCAGGGCTGGTCTGCCTGGTGGCCCTCCTTCCGTCTCCCCTCCCTGCCCCGTCACTCACCCGGCTTTCTTTGCACCCCTGTTAGATGGAGGCCCCCTCATTCTGGCATTTGGGGCCCTCGGGATGGACTGCACCACCGCCCCTCTCACGGCACCTGCCTGTCCCCACTTCTCTTCTCCAGCTGTGGGCTTTTGCCCCCCCCCCCCCGCCCCTGTCCCCTTCCTCCAGCTCCTCACTGCTCCTTGGCCCCCAGTGGCTTGTTGCTGTGTGGAGGTGTCTCCCACCTGTCGCCCCGGTCCCCCCGCCCCGTGCATCTGTGGTCCAGCGTGTCCTTCCTCATGTCCTGGCCAGGGCTGCTGTCCTCGGGCCTGGAGCTGTCCTGCCTCTGTCCTGGGAATGTGGCCGATGGTCAGCCAAGGCCAGTTTTCATTGAACTTGTGGTATTTGGGGGTTCAGGCTGTGCTGTCCACGAGGGGACACTGAACGCTGTCCTTTCTGACTCCGGGAGAGCTGGAGCTGCCGCGCGTGTGTGTGTCTGTGTCTGTGTGTGTCTGTCCGTGTGGTTGTGTGGTCGTGTGTGCTGTGTCTGCGTGTGTCTCGGCCGGGGCGGCTGAGAGCTTTTCGCCGTGGTTCCCAGCCGACCCTCTTTGGTGGCCGGTGTTCCTGTGGGTGCACGGCCTCCCTGAACACTGGCTCTTGGGCCCAGAGGCCGCGAGTGAGGTCCTGTCTGTGAGTGCAGAGCCTGCTGGGAAGTGATGGGGACATGGCAGGTCAGGGGATGCTGGCCTCACAGTGGCCGCTGGGGCAGAGGCCCGACGGCGCCTCAGAGCTGTCACGTTCGCTCTCAGCAGGACGACGGGCAGGACCGGGAGAGGCTGACGTACTTTCGCAACCTGCCGGAGGCCCTGACCTCCCTCCTGGTGCTGTTGACCACGGCCAACAACCCTGACGGTGTGTGAGGAGTGGGGAGAGGCCCCGGGGGGGCGGGGGGGGGGGGGCAGCTTTGGTTGTCGCTGGGCCGCAGAGCCGGGCTCCGGGCCGCGGGGGTGCCGAACGCCTTTTTATCGCCCGGGGGAGGATGACACTGGCTTCTCTCCCTCCCTCGCTCCTTGGTTTTCTTTCCCTGTTTGTCTTTTCCCTCCTTCTTCCTGCCTTTTTCCTTTTTCTTCTGTTTTTTCCCGTCTCCTGTGCTCGCTTCCTCCCTTTGCGTCTGTTCCCTTCGCCTTGTCTTTCCCGTCTCCTGACTTCACGGGGAAGCTAAGAACGCATGAGATGTGTGTCTGGCGGGGCCCCCGGTGGCCTCCTCTCCGAGGCCTGACCGCTTTCCCTGTAGGTGGCTGTGGCTGCTCACGTTTGGGGTGGCTGCCGGGGCCTCTCTGTCTGGGCGAGCGGTACGGCCAGGGTGGGGTGCCGTGGGCCTCCAGGGCTTGGCCGTGGCCTGGTCCCCTGGCTGGTGACTTTCGTCTTGGGCGCGGGGCCGATCCCCCCATCACAGAGACCTTCCCGGGAGGGCAGCCCCCCCGGCTTCCACACCCAGGGAGAGCTGTGCAGCGGGACCCCGAGCGTTGCGCCCACGCGTCCCGTGAGTCCTAGCGAGTCACCCGAGGGAGAGCTGACCTTCCGGTCTGCGGGGAGTTGACGGGAGCAGATCTCAGCGGAAGGGAGGAGCAGCCTTGAGAAGTAGTGAGCCCTCCATTCCGAGGGTGTGCAGGCAGAGCCGGGGGTCGGCATTGGACCAGAAGGCCTCCCGGCTCTCCCAGCCGAGCCCTTCTCTCCTCTGGGAGGCAGACGGCGTGGGGCCGTGAGGGGATCGGACGGGACGCTGAGGTGGGAGCAGGGTTCAGTCTCTCCGCTTTCTTTCTCCCAGTGATGACTCCTGCCTACTCCAAGAACCGGGCCTATGCCGTCTTCTTCATAGTCTTCACCCTGATAGGTAAGTTCCGGTGGGTCTGCAGGGGTCACTCGGGACAAGATTCTGCCCCCAGTGGCAAGATTGCGAATGCTCAGGTGTGAGTATGCCCTCCCGACCCCATGACCTCCCCCACGTGCCCTCCTGACCCCATGACCTCCCCTCATGTGCCCTCCTGACTCCATGACTTCACCCCAGTGTGCCTTCTTGACCCCATGACCTCCCCCCATGCGCCCTCTTGACCCCATGACCTCTCCCCATGCGCCCTCTTGACCCCATGACCTCCCCTCATGTGCCCTCCCGACCCCATGACCTCCCCTCATGTGCCCTCCAACCTCGTGGCTTCTCAGTGTGACCATCTCGTGGTCTTTGGTCTGTGACTACCGACGGCCCCTGTGCCCGTGGCTGGGCAGGCCTGGTGTCTTGCGTGTTCATTGGATGAGGACAAGGCTACGTGTGGGGTGACTGGTGTGCCCCGGGCACCTGACGGGAACCACGAGCACGCCCTGCTCTGTGACCATCCCTGCCCTTCTTGCCACCCCTCCCTGGGGGATTGCTGTGCCCATGTCCCCTCTGTGCCCCTGGATGCCGGCCTGGCCCTGGGCCCCCGGGGTGCTCCCTCTAGACTCTGCCTGATGACCGCGGCTTTTCCCACTTGAAGGAAGCTTGTTTCTGATGAACCTGCTGACGGCCATCATCTACAACCAGTTCCGGGGCTACCTGATGGTGAGCCGGGCCGCTGTCCCTGTTCCCGCCTGAGCAGCTGCCCCTGGAGGCCAAGCGGGACGCGACCGAGCTGACTGGCCAGGCAGTCCCCGCAGTGAGGGGTGGCCGGCCAGGGGTGGAGTGGCGGCCCCTGCTGGTCTCGGCGCCGCCTCCCGTGGGGAAGCGGGAGCCGCGGCACATCCTTGCCGTCCAGGCCGCTTCTAGAGGGAGGCCTCGAGGTCGCCCCTCCCAGGGCAGGCGGCCCCGACCCCACCGTGTGTGTGAGAGCTGGGGGCCCCAGGCACGCAGAGCGGAAAAGCACGTCTTCGTGAGTTCCGCAGGCCGGGAGGGGTCTGGCCGTGCCCCTAGGGCCCGAGGGGGCAAGGGCCGCTCCTAGCCGCGGGCGGGTGGGTGCCCCCAAAGGCCGCTGCACAGGAGGGGGTGTGTGGCCGGGAGAGGCCCGACCCTGCCACTCAGAGCCATCGTCCTGGCTTGCAGAAGTCCTTCCAGACCTCGCTGTTCCGGAGGCGGCTGGGGGCCCGGGCCGCCTACGAGGTCCTCTCCTCCATGAGCACACGGGGAGAAGCCCACCCTCGAGGGTGAGTGGCGGGGCTCCCGGGAGCCCCTTCTCCCCGAGGAAGTGGGGGCGCCTGCTGCCGGGAGGGAACGCCTTAGGGGTGGCGTGCTCTGTGGGACGTTTCCCGGGGACCGCTCTGCCCAGCTCCCTGCGGGCTGGGGCCCGGGCATCCTGAGGACACCGCCTCTCTGGTGCCGCGGGGTCGTCCTCGTGAGCCCCGGAGACCCTGGGCCGGCGGGGGCCGAGGCGCTTTGGCCCTCTCCCCCGACTGCGCCCTTCCCGCGCCTCTGCGCTCGGGCGCCCGAACCAGCGGGACCTGGTCTGGAGGTGGTGTCGGTGTGGAAGGCTCCGGCTCGGACGGCTCGTTAGCCGTGGCGCTGCCGTCGTCCCGCCTGCCGCTTCCGAGGGCCAGCGCGCTCCCCTCGGGGGTGCGACAGTAGTGTCTCTGGGCATTTTAGACGACAGGACGTCGGAGGGCCTGTGGTCGGCTCTTTCACGGAGGCCTGTGTCATCGCCCAGGGCGGCTCAGTCGCACGCGCACAGCCCAGGCCAGAGGGGCGGGCGCCGGGTGTGCTGCGCTGGCCGGGCTCACTGGGGCGTGGTGTTTTTCTTCCCAGGGTCGGGGTGGACCCCCAGGACTTCCTGCAGGTGCTCCAGAGAGTCCAGCTGGACAGCCACCAGAAACCGGTCATCATGGAGGTATCGGAGTCCCCTCTTCCCCTTGCCCTCCTCGGTCTGTGATCTGGGCTCCCCCTGGAGGTCACGTCGGCCAGCAACCCCGCTTCTGCACAGGGCGTCATTTCAGATCGGCCGGAGCTGGGCCCCGCCCGGGGGCCGGTGGGAGCCGGGCCCGGCGCACCCTCCTGTCCTGGGCCCTTCCTCCCCTGGGCCCAGCTGGCCCCTGCTGACCTGTGTTTCTGTCCTTTGTAGAAGGTGCGTTCCTACGGTGGCGACCTTCTGTCGGCCGAGGAGTTTCAGAAGCTCTTCAACGAGTTTGACAAAAGGGTGATTAAAGAGGTAACTGAGCCACCTGCTTAGGGCCAGGCCACCCGGGGTGAACGGGGAAGTTTACGGTGCGTGTTGGCATTGATCACCCGGGTGACCCTTGGCGTCAGTGCCAGGGATTCTGGCCCCGAGGATGGGGAATGGGAACAGAGGTTGCTGGGCTCTTGGAAACCGAGGAGGTTTTTGTTAACCTGATGCAATTCGCAGACCACAGGGACTGGCCTGGGCCAAGCCTGACTCAGGGGAGCCTTCTGGATGGGTTTCCCTGTCTGCATGACAGACTCTTACCTACTTCCTGTGTGTCCTTCTCTGGAGCTTCCTGAGTTTGTCCGAAGCGTTTGTCCTTTGTCCTTGACCCTGATTTGTAAAGTCCCCAGATGGGCCTTGGCATCCAGCTCAGCACTGTGTCCAGATGACTGTCCCGTGTCAGTTATTGGCATGTAATTTACGTACATTTGTTCACAGAACACTTTGTGTCTGGTGGTAACACCTGGCGTGTGCTCAGGGTCCCCCCCGGATAGTCCCTCGTGGTTTACTTAAGCCGCTTAGTGACCGTTTAGGCTGTCTCTGCCTCTCTTTTGGTGTTCAAAGACTGCTGGGATGAACGTCTTTGTGCACCTATTTTCGTGTTTGAGATTATTTTCTCAGGCTGGATAGACTGGGATGACAGAGAAGGGAGGAAAAGTCGAATCCCAGAATAAGGGGGTGTGGACACCGGAGGGTGCCCAGCGGCCACGTGCCCCCCGTAGGCACGTGTGTTTGAGCACACGCGTGTTCCCTCCCCAGCGCCCGCCGCGGCCCGAGTACCGGTCTCCCTTCCTGCGGAGCGCTCAGTTCCTCTTCAGCCACCGCTATTTTGACTACCTGGGGAACCTCATCGCCCTTGGGAACCTCGTGTCCATTTCTGTGCGTGTGCCCTTGCCCTCGTGTGGACGCGGGAGGCGCCTTGCGCCCGCCCACCCCCCCCCCCCGCCCCCGCCCCTCCTCCCGGCCCCACTGCCCGAGGTCTCTGCCGGGCCCGGCCGGCGAGCCGCCTCCCGCTCTGGCTCCGCAGGTGTTCTTGGTGTTCGATGCCGACGTGCTGCCCGGGGACCGTGATGACTTCGTCCTCGGGGTGAGCTCTGGGGCCGTGCGGCCGGGGTGACAGCGGCCAGAGGGAGTGAGTGTGCACGGCCTCCCTGCCCCGGGGCCCTCCTGCCGCAGAGCGGCTCCTCCCGTCGCGGGGCGCCCCCAGAGGAGGGGTGCTGGCCCGGGCGAGGCGGGGGGCAGGGGTGGGGGTGGGGGGCAAGGCAGCGGGTGGGGCCGCGCCGTCTGGCTGCCTTGTCTGGCCCTGGGATTTGAGCTTCTTCGTGGCTGGTTCTCAGCCCTTTATGGAACCGTGAGCTCCTTTCTTAATGTTACGTGGTCTCGTCAAACTCTCTAGGAATTTAAAAACAATTTTCCCACGTTGGATGTTAAGCAAAGTAGCGGCCACGCCCCCACGGTACCTAACCCCAGAACTCTTAACAAAGCGGGTGTTTTCACGGGAGATGGCGTCGTGAACGATGTTAAAATTGACGCAAAGACTACATCTTCTCTAATTACGTCGGAAGCTGTTTGGTTTATCTGGTTTAATGTGCCAGGACAGATTGTGTCCTGTGTGTTAGATGTGGAGCAAAACTTACCCTAGTTTCAAAATCGAAACAAGGGCTTTTCTGACCTGACGCTTCAAATTCCTGCATTTTGCATTTCAGGAAAATCAGATTCTCTTCTTTCTTCTTTCTGTTGTGCTTTTTTCCTGGATGACCCCAGAAAGGTTCAGTCTCCTCCTCGTGAATGACACATTCCAGAGGTGGCTGGTTTTCATTCCTGACAAAAGTCAAATTGGATACACTTGATCTGTGTTTTCTCTCTTTTTTCTTTTTTCTTTTTTTAAAAGAGAGAGCACACTGGCTCCACAAGGGGAGTGGGGTGGAGGGGGAGGGAGGGGGAGGGAGGGGGAGGGAGGGGGAGAGGGAGTCTTAAGCAGGCGCCACACTCAGTGTGGCGCCTGACGCAGGATTCGATCCCACGACCTGAGCCCTGGGATCGCGATCTGAGCTGAGATCAAGAGTCAGTCGCCCAACCAGCTGAGCCACCCACGTGCCCTAGGAATATGGCATTTAGACTGGACACCTAGGTGGGGTGACCGTGGCGCTCACCACGCCTCCCCACCCTCGGGACTCCCGTGTCTTACTTCCTGGCTTCAAACACGGACCGGGACCCAGTAGCCTGAGGCCACGTTCAATGCGAAGAGTGTCTCAGACACACCCCCGGAGGCTGGGAGGGCGCTGCCCACGGGAGTTGTTAGAGGTCCCCTGGAGGTTGGACCGGAGGGGCCAGGGCAGAGACAGCCGGGGGCGCAGGCTCGGGGGGGCAGTGGGGGGTGGAGTGTGACCCCGGCCTTGCGGGCACAGAGAGGATGTGGGGTCGGGAGATGTAGGGCCGCAGACGTGCGAGTTCTGGAAGCCGGCGTGGGGTTCCAGGCCACCTGAGGGGAGGGTGTGGGGCAGGAGGTTGGGGTGCCGGAGATGCCCCGGGTGTGAGCAGCGGGCGCGTGGGAAGAGGGGAGGCGAGCGGAGGGCGGGTGGCGCGGGCCGGACGCGAGGCAGCTGTGTGTGTCCCTTGCAGATTCTCAACTGCGTCTTTATTCTGTACTACGTGCTGGAGCTGCTGCTCAAGGCGTTCGCTCTGGGCCTGCGGGGGTACCTGTCCTACTCCAGCAACGTATTTGATGGGCTCCTCACCGTCGTCCTGCTGGTAAAGTCTGAGACGGGCCGGGCCGCTGGCCTCTCCGGGCGGGCGGTGTGCTCTTTGCGTCTGGCTCTGTGCCGTGTCCCGTCCCAGGCCGTCCCTCGGGCGCTGAGGGCCACAGGGAGGCGCGCTCCGGGCTGCAGGGGCAAAGGGCCGGCTTTCGCCCCGGTGCGCTGCTTGGGGGGGGGGGGGGGGCCCGCGGGGGCCGGGGGGGGGGGGGGTTCCCGCGGCCCTTGAGTGCCCCCGGCCCGGCCCCCCCCCCCCGGCGGGGGGGGGCGGGGGGCCGGAGGAACTCATGGTCCCCGCCCTCTAAGCCGGCCCCGGCCACAGACACTAAGGACAGTGGGACCTTGATGTGGGTGGCAGGAGGGGCCGCGGGGGTCAGGCGCCCTTTCCCTAGAACCTGTGGGAGTGGAGGGTCACGCGGGAGGTGTGCGTCGTGGCAGCCATATTGGTCCGACATCTGTTCGTCTTTGATCGGAGGTGTGGGCTCCTTGGGACAGGAACAGAGACGGTCTGAGAGCCGGGCCTCCGGTCTGTCCTTGACCCGGGCTCCTCCAGCCTTTCCGGTGTCCCGCCCTCCCTGTGTATAGGCCACCGCCTCCTGAGACTAGAGTGTGTTTCTCGGCCGCAGGAAGTGCCATGTTTGGAACCAACCCACTGGGACAAGGACGGAGCTCTGACTTCCCCCCGAAGCCCCGTTCGAGGGGGAGCATGTTAGACGCGAGCTTTAGAACTCGTTTGAAAGCCCCCTAGGTTAGGTTGCTGTAGCGATGCCTTCTCTTCTTTTGTGATTAAAGGTTTTGGAGATCTCAACTCTGGCTGTGTACCGATTCCCACACCCAGGCTGGTATGTGACTGGAGAGAACCGAGGGAGGCTACAGCAACCAGCGCCCTGTAGGCCCCAGGGGTGGGTGGCCCGTGCCCAGGCGCCCTGGCCTGTCTGCTCGGGCTGCTCCAGGGCCCATGGCCCGAATGTTAGGGAAGCAGGTGGCTCGGAACTTGGCCCGCTAGGACTGTGGGAGGTCTCGTTGCTCTTGGGGATCCCGTGACATGTCCTGACTCGCCGTCAGATTGATAGGGTTCCCAGAGCTGTGACAAGCCGCTAGCGGGCAGTGGGCTCAGCCCCGGCACCAGGACGGGGCGTGCGGCCCCCGGAGATGCCCCGCGTGCGGCTGGGAGCCGTGTGACCTTGGCTCGTCACCTCCTGCTCTGAGCGCCAGTTTCCCACCCTGTGGGATGGCGGAAGCGGGGGCTGCTGAATCCCCACGGCTGTTGGAGCCCCACCAACCCCGGTTCTGGCCGCATAGCAGTGTGGCTGTCTGGCCAGGGGGTCCCAGAGCGCCTCGAAGTGTGGCTTGCGGTGGCCGTTGGGTTGCGTTGCCCGGAACACAGCTGCCCCAGCCGGGGCCTGTGCCGGCCCCGCCCTCTCAGCGTCTCGGGGGGCTGCTTGTCTGCCAGTGGAGCGGCCCGGAAGTGCCTGCGACTCGGCTTAGCTGCCCCAGGGCCAGCTAGGAAGGGCTTTCGTCGGGGACATGGGTTGGGCTGGGGCTGGTGCTGTCCGTGGTGGTGAGCCGGGGCCTGGTAGGAGCTCAGGCCGCCTGGTTTCTCAAGTGCAGCGAAAACCTGCTTTTGTCCAAGAATCACAGGGGAACATTTTGCGTGAGTGTGAGTTTCGAGTTGACAAGAGCACAGTAAGCTCTGAGGGACACCTAGGGGGTCAGGCTGCAGGATGGCATCACAGGAGAGGGCAGAGTCAGGACGGGGGTGGAGTCAGGGGACAGGGTTGGGTGATAGGGACAGGGGACGAGGTCAGAGGGAGGGGTTGAAATAGGAGGGTGGTTAGGGGTCAGCGGAGAGGGACGGGACCGGCTCAGGGACCACGTCTCTTCCACTCGGGCTGGGACCAGAGTTGGAGTGTTCCGGCCTCTGGAACCTGAGTGTCTGTCGTGTGAGATCGGGGTGCGATGGCTGGGCACCAGTGTGAGGGGCTGTGCCTTGACCCGTGCTGTCCTGGGCCGGCAGGTGTGGGCAGTCCGGGCTCAGCGTGTGCCAAGACGGGGCCCCCCACCCCCACGCCCCCCGCCCCGTTGCTCTCTGCGTCTCTGTTTCTCTGTGTCTGAACACACACCTCCCGGTCTTCCTGTCGCCGACGTCTCGAGGCCCTCCCGACCGTCTCCTGTGTGTCTCTCCAGGAAGCCAGAGATGCTGGGCCTGCTGTCGCTGTGGGACATGGCCCGGCTGGTGAACATGTTCATCGTGTTCCGGTTCCTGCGCATCATCCCCAGCATGAAGGTACGTGCGTGCCTGACGCCCTCACCTCGCCACCCTGCCTTACTGCCCCCGCTGTGGCCTTGCTCTGGGGAGTGGGTGAGCCTGGGCAGGGAGGGACCGAGAGCGGGACCGTCCCCTTGGTCTCCCTGGGGCGTGTCCCCAGCCCTGCAGTGCAGCCGGGTGATGCTGGGGGCAGTTCTAGCCCTGCTTTTATGCATGAGGAGAGGGAGGCCAGCGCAGGTGGACCCGTGTGGGGCACCGCGGCCGTCTGCGGCGGTAGCTTTGGGCTCTTTGGGGCCCCTGGCGTTGGTGAGGGGCGGGGTCTGGAGCTCTTGGAACCCGCGTGTTCCCAGGCGTCCTGAGGTTTCTAGAAGGCCGTGGGCGTGGGCTCTCCGTGGCTTTTCGTAATGAGGGGTGAAGGCGGGACGGGCCAGGGTACTCCCCTCCAGGACCCCCAGTGCAGGCGTGGGGTTGGCTGGGGTGCTAGTCTCTGGGACCCCGATGCGGGAACCCGGTGGCTCGTGACATCTACGAGCCTCGTTTTCTCTTAACATGCCCACGGGGAGGGACACCAGCCTTGAGGGGAGGGGAGCCGGGCGAGCAGGGGATCTAGGCCCAGCGCCCACCCGGCACAGAGGTAGAGTTTGCTCCTCCTGCTTTCCTAAGAACTTTTTGGGAGAGAAGAATCCAAGGACATCACCCCCTTTCCACGTGTACGAGTCCCTCCCCCTGAGCTCGTCTCTTTCTGCCTCGCCGTGCACCTGTCCCTTCTGGGGCTACCTGTTTCCAAGCAGAGCTTCCCATCCGAAGGGGCCCTGGGGCCCTGGGTGCAGCTGGGGGCCGCCGCCCACATGCGTGTGGGGACGCGTGTGCACACGCGGTCCCCTGCGTGCACGTGATCACACATGTGCTCGTAACTACACTGCGCATCTCATTACATATTCCCGTGCTGACACGCCCGTGCAAGTACACGGTGACCACACGCGGTAACACACCCATACGTGTAATCGCACGCGTCGTGCACGTGTAGCACGGTAGCCACGCTTAATCGCTTGCACACACACACACACACACACACACACACACACACACGGTGCTTTCTGTCGTGTAGCATCCAGCGTTAGGATCTAACGCATCACGTGGGGAAAATGAACTATTTGGAGAGCTCTTCCCTGGGGCTCAGGCTTGCATGTGAGGGGAGCAGCCCTCTGTGGGTGGGGTGCCTGGTGCATCTCTGGAGCTCCCTTTGTCAGACCTGGACCCTGGGGCTGACCTTTCTCGGACCTGGACCCTGGGGCTGACCTTTCTCAGACCTGGACCCTGGGGCTGACCTTTCTCAGACCTGGACCCTGGGGCTGACCTTTCTCAGACCTGGTCCCTGGGGCTGACCTGGCCACCATGGGCCTGTGCTTGTGTGGAGCCTCCAGACCAGAGAGGAGCAGCCAACCCAGCCTCAGTGGGTCGCTGGGCAGTGTGATCTGAGCCCCCGTGTGCCGTGGCTTCGCCACAGGACTTGGGATCGAGACACAGCTGCGTCTGGGCGGCTGGAGGCATTGGTGGGGGGCACGTGGGCGTATCTGGGCGTGCGTCTCTGAGTATGAGTGTGTGTGGCGGGCGTGGATGTATCTGCGTGTGCGGGTGTTTATGGGCGGCTGTGGGACGTTTGTCCAGCTGTGCGCTATGTGGGGGTGTGCGTGTGCATGCAGTTGTGTGTGTGCGCAGGTGGGTAGGTTGGTGGTCCACTGGTCGCGTCCCGCCTCTCCGGGCCAGGGTCTGGGTGGCGGGCAGGGTTGGCATCACCTCAGTGGGACCAGAGAGAGCAGGGCCGTGCCTTCTTCTCGTCCTCAGCTGATGGCCTTGGTGGCCAGTACCATCCTGGACCTGATCAAAAACATGCGGGCCTTCGGCGGGATCCTGGTGGTGAGTGTGGCTGTGGGGGTGGGGGTGGGGGTGAGCCTGAGCTCGGCCGGAGGCCGGGGTGAGTGCGGGGCCGGCCGGCCCCTCCGGAGGAAGGGCGGCCCTGGGTGAGGTGGCCGTGTGTCCGGGCCGGGAAGCCGCGTCGCCTCCTGCCAGTGCAGAGGGCGGAGCTCAGGGCTGGTCTGTGGGGAGGGCTGCCCGGCCGCGCTCCCTCTCTGTGCCAGAGATCCCGTCGGCCGCTTGGAATCCCTCACGTGTCTCGGATCGCGGGCCGCATTGAGACACTGGTGTCCGTTTCTTTTCTTCTTTTTTTAAAAGTTTGCTTATTTTGAGAGAGAGAGAAGGCGGTTGGGGAGACCGAACATCCCAAGCAGCTGTTGTGCTGTGAGCGCAGAGCCCCACGTGGGGCTTTGGTCTCATGAACCGCGAGATCGTGACCTTGGCCCAAATCGAGAGTCAGGTGCTTAACCGACTGAGCCACGCAGGCGCCCCCCGAGACGCTCATTTTAAAAGTATGAGAGTCACTAGGGGTCCCTGCAGCCCCCAGAGACCCCAGATGGGGTTTAGTCCCCCCTCCTTGCTGAGGGGGATCTCGGGAGCCCCCAGCCACGTCGGCCGAGGTGCTGCTGGCTCTGCCCTGTGGTCCCGCCCTGGCGGGCAGGGGGGACACCGAAGGCTGCTCTCGGCACGAAGCCCAGCAGTGGGGACGGAGGCCCAGAAGGGACTGGGTTAGGCTGGGCTGTGTGCCCCTTCCTTCTCCTGTTGGGCTCATTGGGGACAGGTGGGGATGGGTCGGGCCGCTGGTGGCCTCGTCCCTCTGTGGCACGAGCCTGCTGGGTGGTGCTCCTTGGACCTCATCACCTCCTGGAGAAGTCTGGCCGGCTTCTACCTGCCCCTCCCTTGGGGACCCCTCCCCTGGGGCCCCCTTCCCTTTAGCACTGGCGTCTGCCTCCAGTGGAGCCCGGGGAAGGGGTCCTTCTTACCTCTTTTCCTGCCACACCTGTCCCAGAGAAGAGGCGCACAGCCTTGCTTCGACTTGGCCGCCTCGGTCTTTCCCCTGGGCCCCCAGTTCATCTTTGTGGCTCCCCTGGTGGTGGAGGCTCCTTGCTCCTTCACTGGGGGGCAGGTTGGTGGCCAGGAGAGGGTGCCCGGGAGGAGAAGTCCTGGTGCTCCTGGGGGAGGCCAGCCGTACCCGTGGCTGGGGGCTGGGGGCAGGTGGCCTTCACATGCTCAGCCCGGCCCTGTGGCTCTGTGTGCCGGTGGCATTGACCGGGCCCGGCCCCGCCTCCCTAGGTCGTGTACTACGTCTTTGCCATCCTGGGCATCAACCTGTTCCGAGGTGTCGTCGTGGCGCCTGGAAACGGCAGGTGAGCGGGGCCTGAAGGTGCCAAAGGGAGTGCGTCTCGGGGTGCGGAGTCTGGGGGTGTGGAGGAGCACGAGCCTGGATGGTGGTGTGGGGGGCAGGCCTCCTGGTCCCCGTTCCTTTGCCTCCCCCACCTCCTCTCCTCCCACATCCCTCCCCCTCCCCTCCCCTCTCCCCCTCCCCTCCCTCACCCAGACTCCGCACTGAGAGAGTGTCTGAAGCCTGCTCAGCACAGCGGCCCCACCCCTGTGCCCCACTTGGGAGCTTCAGGCCAGGCCATGCCCTGGTGGAGCGGAGCGGGGGGCCAGACCTAGAGCCGGCTGTCTGGGAGGCTCGGTTTCCCCTGTTTGTCTGTGGCTCTCGGCCCCTGGCCGTCCTCGAGGCACCTCTGGAGATGGGGGCATTTCTGTCTCTACCTTCTCGAGCCCAGACCGGTTCCAGGCGTGCAGGGGCTGAGGCAGTGCCGGGGCCCCCCGCGTCCGTGTCCCCGTCCCCACCCCTGACCCAGCTTGTCGTGTCCCTGCAGCCTGGCCCCCGACAACAGCTCGGCGCCCTGCGGAAGCTTCGAGCAGCTGGAGTACTGGGCCAACAACTTTGATGACTTCGCGGTGAGCCCCACACGCCCTGCTCCGCGGGACCCCTGCCCTCCCGACCCCCTTCCTCTGCCCTCCTGGAGCCCGTGTGTGCATCCCCGCAGGCCGCCCTGATCACTCTGTGGAACGTGATGGTGGTGAACAACTGGCAGGTGTTTCTGGACGCCTATCGGCGCTTCTCGGGCCCGTGAGTGACCCACCCCCGCCGTGTAACTGTGCCGTGCGACCCTGGGGCACGGGTCCTGGGGACCGCCGAGGGGTGAGGCTCCTCAGGCTGCTGGGAGCCCTGGGGGCAGGCTGAGGGGAGGAGAGTCTGGAGCCTGGGGGGCTCAGACGGCCCCAGCGGAGGGTCCCGGGTTCGAATCCCAGCCGAATCGCTTGCCGGCCGTGCTGCCTTGGCGATTCGTTGACCACTTCCGGGAGCCTTGGTTGGGCCGCTGGAAAACAGGACTGGTGGCGCCACAGAGTTAACGGCAGGACTCGCCGAGAGCCACTGCTTACGCACCGTCAGGTGCGCGGTGCCCCCCGCGTGCGCATGTGGCCTGGGTGGCTCACGGTGGCCCCCGCGGCCTTCCTCCTCCACAGGTGGTCGAAGATGTACTTCGTGTTGTGGTGGCTGGTGTCATCTGTCATCTGGGTCAACCTGTTTCTGGCTCTGATTCTGGAGGTATCAGCCGAGGCTCCGTCCTGCCCTTGGCGCTGCTCGCCCTGGCTGCCGGGAGCCCCTTGGAATGCCCTCGACCCCTGATGTGTGGGGGTTCTCGGCCGCCGGGTGGGCTGGGGGCGGCCATCAGGCGTCTGGCTCCTGCAGGAGCCGGCGGCCTTGCTGGGCCCTGGATCCCAGCGTCGGGGTGAGCTCCGCTCCCTGCCGTGGACGCCTGGCCGACGCTGGAGGGGAAAAGGCTGGTTCGTGTGGGACGCACACCCACTGGGCCCCCTCTCCCCCCGCCCGCTCCCCAGAATTTCCTCCACAAGTGGGACCGCCGCGCTCACCTGCAGTCCCTCGCTGGGGACCCAGATACGTGCTGTCAGGTGACTGTGGATCTCCTGTTCAGGTGTGTGGATGAGGAAGGGGGCGTCTGCTTGGCTTCTGGGCGGGGAGGGGGAGAGGCCGGGAGGTGGCCGGCAGGCGGGCGTCCTCTGTGACGGTCTCCCCACGAGCCCCCGGTCCCTTGCCTCCCTCCCACCGACTTCCGAGCCGGGACCAGGGCGTGGGCTTCCTCTGCTCCTGCTGCTGGGCCGTGAGCTCTGTGCTGTTGTCCGGTGGGCGTGGAAGGCGACAGGCTCAGCTTCCCTTAGTCGCCAAGCGATTCTCCTGGTGGGTGGAGGCAGGTGGCCCGCCCTTCCCCACGGTGGAAGCCATCCCCTGCCGGTTCAGGAAGGCGGCGGTCTCCCAGGGACAGGCCAGCGGGGGCGACCCTTCCCCCCGCCCCCGTGAGCGTGTGCTGTGCTGTAGCCGCCGGCTGGCGTGGAGGGGCGTCCTCCCGGGCTTTCAGCACCGTGCTCACATCCCAGACGTGGAAACGCGTCCTCGTGTCCGCGGTCCTCCCCAAGCTGTGCACGGGTCTGAGGATTCCTGAGTGGGGAGCAGGGCCTCTCCGAGTCATGCTCACGCTCTTCTGGAGGCACCCGGGTCACTCTCCGGAGCTCCCCACGCGTCTTTCCCTCCCCCCGACTCCACAGGGACGTCCTGGAGGAACCCACGGAGGAGGAGCTGCTGGAGAGGCTGAGCTGTCACCCGCACTTGCGGCTGTGCAGGTGACCCCCAGGTGCGCCGTCCTGGCACGGGCGGCAGGTGGCCGTGTGGCCTCGAGACGGACGCCGTCGAGGCAGCAGCCCGGGAGGAGAGACTTTGCGTGGCCGGAATTCTCCACCCACGCGAGGCGGGAGCGGAGAGCAGGGCCCTGTTCGCTGCCCGGCGGAACCACCACCTACCAGCGGCTTTTCCTCGCGGCGCCTTGGGCTCCGCGCCCGGCCGCTTTCTTTGGTCGGCTGCTGCAGTGAGACTTTGACTTTTCTCCACCCGGGTGGAGGGTGACTCCCCGGGACCTTTGAGACCGTCTGGAAAGCAGGAGGCAGTGGCCTTCCTCGTGGGCCCTGCGATTTCCGTGGTGCCTTCGCTGCCGGTGGCCTTCAGGGACCACGGGCCCGCCTGGGGCCTGCACGGGCCAACCGGCAGCTTTCCAGGGCATTCAGTTTGGGTGGTTTTAGAGGAAGAGAATCTTAAGGGTTTTATTGTTTTATGGCTCCCATGAGTACTGATTGGACGGATTTCTTTACGTGTCAGAATGCCCATAGTTTTTATCCTTGCGAAGAGTGAGGTCGTCATTCTTATGTGGACACAACTCCAGTCCTGCTTCTCTGGAGCAGGGTGGCCAGGTAAGGTTGTTTAGGTTGTGCACTGTAAACCTGGCTGCGAGGGTGTGTCCAGGCACTGGAATGTCTCCCCAGGGTGACGGGTACCTTTTTCTAACTTGCATAAAGGCACGTGTAAGCCAGTGGCTCTGCTTTTCTTCCTCTAAGTTTATCTTGAGAGCGAGAGAGAACACATGTACGAGTGAGTGGGGGAGAGGCAGAGGGAGAGAAGAGAGGATCCCGGGCAGGCTCCACACCGTCAGCACGGAGCACAACGCAGGGCTCGATCCCACGAACCGTGAGGTCATGACCTGGGCCGACACCAAGAGCCGGACGCTCAACTGACTGGGCCCCCAGGTGCCCCAATGGTAGCTGTACTTTATGTGTCTGCAGGGCGTGTGGCCCAGGGGGCAGAAGTGCGTAATGTGTGACAGGCCGTATTGCCACTTGAGCCACCATACATCCAGGAAAACCGTCAAGAGTGTTGTCATTTCAAGGGCCGACTCGAGTGCTTGCTGGGAGCCCCTGCAGGTCTGTGTCAACCAGGATTGGAATCCTGGAAACTAATGCCGGGACCGATTAGTGCCGTCTGCTGTGGGCACCGAAGGGGGAAGCAAGGGCACAGGTGCTGACGCCACTGCAGGAAGTGATGTCCTTCTTCCCCGTTTGTCTGAGAAGTGGGATGAAGGGAAAGTAACTCAAACAGAAAAGAAACTTGGAAAACGTCAAGAGACCCCGGTGCCTAGGGTTGCGTAGGGCTGGCCACGGTTTTACGGACCCACCCTGTACACTGCGATTTCTGATCCTGGAGTCGACCTGGCATCCTGGGCATCAGCGGGCCACACCCCTCAGGTTTGGGGGCTCTTCACATGCGCTCAGGCTGGTCTTCTCTGCGGGCTGCCTTCTGGGAAGGCTGGTTTGGGGCTGGGCACGGAGCGGTGGGGTGAGAAGCCTGCACCCGGCTTGCCTTGGCGGAGCCCTGCTCTCTCTGGGGACAAGGTTGAGGCCCACCCGGTCAGCTGCCCTCTGCACCTCCTGTTTCGCCACCCCGTCACCCCCTCCATCCGAGGTCTGAGCGCCATCTGGTGGCGGGATTGGATTCCCTCTCATGCACGCTGGAACCCATGACCCCCCAGGGGATAGCTCAATGCTTTTCCCAGGCTGGCCAGAGGCCTGCTTCCTCCTGGGATCCAAGGCCTGGGCTGCAGGCTCGTCCACCCAGAGTGAGCCTCGTAGTGGACACTTGCCAGGTGGGATGTCCTTCCTTCTGCCCCGCCCGTGTGCAGGTTCCAGCTCCCACTCGGACGGTCCCCCGCCTCGCGTTTCACGGCCCGTGTGCAGAGAAGCCCTGTCTGGTCATTACTGTCATGTGGCACGGAATTCGGGTGACCCACGCCAGAGTCTGGGACACGGTGCTGCTCGGAGAGGCTGGCCCCGCCTTCAGGATGGGCCAGCTGAAGGTGGTGCCCTCAAGCTGGTGACTTCTGTCCACCAGCTAGTGTCTCTTGGGTGCTCTGGGGGCACTGACTGTTCCTTCCTCAGTTTCAAATGGTGTCGGCCTCCCGACATTTGTCCCCGCGAGAACGAGGGCTGCGTTCACGGGGGAGCTGGGGCTCCGCTTTCGGTTAAGGGGAGCTGGTGGGGGTTGCCCGGTGCCGCCTGGGGGCTGCACTGGGGAGGACCCGTTTGAGGAGGACACGTGCTCACATCTCTCAGCCCCTTGCGGCTCTGGCGGGCACCGCTGTTGTTGTCTGTGGCTACCGTGGTCCCGGTCACCCCTCTGCACTCTGGATGGGCGCGAGGTACAGGGGGCTCAGCCCTGCTGGACTCCGGAGTCCCCCAGTCGCATGCAGGAGTCTGGGACACCTGGAGTGGTGTCGCTGCCCCGGTGGAGGTGGGTGGAGGCGGGGGCAGGACGTCACTGGGCCCCGGGGAGCCCCGTGGCACGGGTCAGGCTCCGAGGAGGGGCCCGTGTGTCCGCGGCCTGGGGAGCCCTGGCCTGGGTGTCGGCAAGAAGCTGAATGGAGGCGGCTGGCCCAGTGGAGGGGTCTCCTGGGGGGAGAGGGGAAGGGGGTGGGGCAGAGTGGTGGGTCCGCAGCCACACGCACCAAGTAGTGGGGCCTTTGGTCCCAGACGCCGATGGGCCTGGAGTTGGGTGCGGGCAAGGCAGGGACCCGGGTGGGCACCAAAGCCCCCACCTGCCTGGGAGGCCTGAGTCCTTCACGCTGCGGGGGACTTGCTTCGTACCTGCCCAGATCGGGGCAACCAGCTAGCCCGGGCCTCTGAAGGTGACTTCCTCCAGGACCTGGGGTCGCCTGCCTGCCTTCACTGGGACCAGGAAGGGCTACGAGTGGGCGGGGACTGTCTCCTCTCCCATGGGGGTTCCCCACGGGGGCCCCAGGCCTCTGTCCCCACTGGGGGGCACCAGGAAGGACACAGCTGCTGTTTCTGAGGCCGGGGGAGGGCAGGGAGGGGCAGGAGCAAGGTGAGGCCGTGAGTTTGCTCGTGTTTAATAATAACGAACTATAGAAATGATCCCCGAAAGTATAGTCTTGCTCATGTTTGATAATAACGTGGAAGTGAACGCAGACTTAGAGAAACGTCACAAGGACAGCTTTCCCGGGATCACTGGGGAGTTCAGTTGTAGTTCCGATCTCTTTGCCTTCCGCACTTGAGGGAGGGTCTCCAACACACGGGGACACTGGGATGGGGTCTCCACGGCTTCCTGCTGGCTGGTGCTCACCCCATGTGTGGCCATTCGGAGCCTCCAGCCCGGACCCTCGGGCTCCGTGGTCGTCTGTGATCTCCCCGGACAGGTGACCTCGGCGCTCTGGAAGGTCAGCCGGTGATGGTGATGGGAGGTTCCCAGGCTGGATTTACGCAGGGTTTCCTCATCAGCGTGTTTCTGCCGTGTCTGTAGGAAGACCGGAGCTGCGTGCCCTGGCAGCTGGTGGGCGGTTTCCGTTTGCCCCGTGGCCGCTGCCCACCCCGTCATCTGCCGTTGGTGGTGCCGGGTCACCCAGCGTAAGGTGGCTCTTCCTCCCTTTGTAACTCAGGGGTGGGAGGTGCTTTGCAGCTCGGCGAGGCTCCAGTTCTGCAGGCTTCAGTCACTTCTTCCCTGCCTTCCTCCGTGCGCATTATCATTTCCTCCGTCCCGTGTGTTCTGTTTAGTCCGTTCCGTTTCACGCACAGATTCTCATTTGGCCGGTGGGAGCCGCTTCATCTCGATTTCTGTGTCCATTTGCTAGGCACCTGGCGTCCTCTGAGTGCTTCTTTGCTTTCTGGTGTGAAGAGACGTTCAAGGCCTCATGTCACGCCTCCTGTGCCCCAGCCCTGGAAACAGCCGTCTCGAACAGCATCTGGGAACCAAGATGTGGGCGTGAGGTGCGTTTCCTGCTGTTGGGGTGCTGCTTACCCAGGTTCTCTCTGTAGACAGAGCTGGGGAGTACATGCATGCATCTGTCTGTCCGTCCGTCCATCCATCCATCCATCCAGTGGACAACTGTGAGATCACCCTGATACCAACACCACAGGGCACAGCTGGTTTTCTCTCTGCGTGGCTCTCAGCCCTTTTCTGAGTGGTTTGCGTTCTCCGTAGCCTGGGCACTGACTCGATCCGTTCTCTTGTAAATGACTTGCCTCATCCTCCCCACAGAGATGCCCTCCTCACCCCGCAGGGGCGCCCCTGCGGATGCCCTCCAGCCAGAGACCTCCGGGAAAGAGCTTTCCAGATGGAGAGAGAGTACCGCCCGGCCCTTTACCGTTAGGAATAGCGGAATTAGAATCTGACCAGCTTATTAAAAGCAAATTAAGTAAACAAAACAAAACAAAACAAAACAAAAAAAACAAAAAAACAAACAACAAAACAAAAAAAAAAACCATTAGAAGAAATGTATCTTTTTATTCACAAATAACATGGTGGTCCCTACCGAGGGGCTGAGGGCATTCATAATTCAGCAACATGGCTTGCTATCAGATTAATACCCTGAAATCAATTGCTTTTCTAAACACTAGTGACAAGCTGCCCCAAGTTTATTTTAAAGGATATCGGAAGAAATAACTATTCACATGAGAGGAAAATCCTCAAGGTTCTTAAAAATACATTCCCCATACGCAGGAAACCATAAAACCGCACTAAACCCCATGAATGGCCTTGAGCGAGAATGCAGTCGCGTTCTCTTGCCGGGCACCTGTTACCACACAGCGGCCTCAGACGCTCCACGCTTGACCCGCTCGCATCTCGGCAGGCCAGACGGGCAGGCGCTGCTTTGCGGGGCCCTCTGCACGGCGGGGCTCAGCCCGTGCTCCACCTCGTTCTCCGGGAAGAGCCTGATAGGTCTGCAGTCGTTCGGGTTGTCGGCCGAGTTCTGTTCCGAGGCCGTAGGTGATGGTCCTTCCCGTTCCCCGGTTTCCTTATTGGTGTCAGCAGAGGGCTGCTCTTAAGCTGCCTTCGCTCTCTGCTCCACAACCCCCCAGTCCTCAGAGTCGGCAACGGAGAACCTGCTGTGAATCGAATCCCCTTACCCTTTGTGCCCGGCCCTCACTACGTACAGGCTCGCCTGATTAGGTCAGGCCCACCAGGATACTCCCCCTTTCTTGAAGTCCACAAGGGTGTCCGAGGGTGAGGCTCACTGGGGGTCTTAGAATTCCGCCTACCACAGTCTTCCTGTTCGTAGCCAGAAAGAGTCGATATCGTCAACATGTCTGCCTTCCCCAATTAATCCATAGATTTGTCAAGATTCTAAACAGAATGCTCATTTCTTCCACAAAATGTGATGAGCTGAAAAATTTACCTGAAACTTACATGCAAAAATAGCTAGGTCAGTTCTGTAGAAAAATATGGTTGGAGACCTTGCTCGCCAGTGTCCCTGACTTACCGTGGAGATGCGGTAACTAAGACCAACCAGCATGATCCCAGCGCAGGGGCGGATGGAGGAATGACGTAGAAGGGAGAGCCCAGGATGGCGACGGTGAGGGGCTGGGGCCGCTGGGAGGCTCTGTGCACCCCCAGGGGCCAGACTGGCCTCAGCATCTGTGGGTTTTTGTACGGCTGGCAGGTGCGGAGCCAGCGGCTGGATGGGGTCCAGGACCTGGGAGCAGTCTGCCGCTGGGACCTGGGAGTGGGGGTTCAGGTGGTTCGGGGCCTTTCATGTGGTTACGTCCTCAGCACAGCAGGGAGGAATCTTGTCTTTCACCCAAACAGCCAGGATTTGGTTTTCTGCCTCAGAGATAATTGGCGGTGCTTGTGAAAAGGTTCGAACGATTGGTTGTCTTAAAAGAAGCGAAAGGCAGGTACAGCTCGCGGCTCTTACCGTGTAAGAGGGGGCCGTGGGGCTCCACAACGCTCCTCACGTCAAAGTGGCCAACAGGCGCTGTGGGCAGTGAGCGGGCGGCCCACCCCGGCCCACCGATCGCGCCCGGGGCCCCCGCCGTTCTGGTGACGGCAGGCCCACACCTGCAGGGACCCCGGCGGCCCGGCTGCGGCCCTGGGTTTGATACAGCAGTTGGCTAATCCGCGTGGGGGGCCTCGGCAACACCTGTCGCCAGGTGAGCCGGACCCGCCTTACCCGCCTCCCTGGCTTTCGCTTTCTCCTGTCAGCTAACGGGCAGGTGGATGGGGGCCCGCTGACGCCAGACTCGGGCGGAGGAGGCCATCCTTGGCCGTAGGCGCTGGGCCGGCAGCTCCCAGAATCCCCTGCGGAGGCTCGCTCAGACAGAGCTCTGGGTTCCACCCTGGCCGGTCTGCTTTACGCTGGCTGGGGCGGGGCCCGGGAACCTGCATTTCGACTTCGTTCCCGGGGGTTGCTGCTGCGCGTCCGGAGACCAGAGCCGGAGAACAGCGGGCTCGGGAAAGAGTTAGCTTCTCTCCCTCCCTTTCCCGGCGGCTTTCTTTCCGGAAGTCCTTACTGAGCACCCATTGTTGCCGTCGGGGAGCTGTAAATAATACTTTGGCGGGGGGCTGTTACGGAGAGGACCTCTTTCTGACTGGTCCCCTCTGGAAAAGGTGCTGGCTTCTCGCGCTGCAGCCACCGCCCTGGTCTCTCCGGGCTGGCGGAGTCCAGGCAGGACGTGGTCCTCCCGGCCGCCACGACCCCTTTCCTGTCGCCTGGGCCCCAGGTCTGTGCGCAGACTGCCTAACTGCATATAGGGAATCTGGCTGGGCCCCGATGGGCGCGTTGGGCAAGGACAGCTACCGGGGCCCCAGGACACAAAGGGGGCAGAGATGGGGTGCTGCCCCCACGGGGGTCCCGCCACCCTCCCCCAGCAACGTGATCCTACTCTCCCCTCGCTGTTCCCTGGCCCTGTGGGGCACTGGGTATTCCCATTCCTTCCTCCGTCCCCAGGCCCTGGTGGTGCTTGTGTGTGGCTAGTGCTCCATACCTAGTCCTGCCATTGAATGCCGAGGAGCAGGTGGCTCACGTCAGATGCTAACATCCACTCTGTCAATGTGCTCTGCAGGCTGCCAGGCACCGATGTAAAGTGGGGTAAAAACAGAAATGGCTGGGGCCGGGAGCAGGAGGAAGAGGTTGTCCATACACCCGGGGACCCACTATGGTTGCAGGCCAGCTGGGAGCTCCCTGGCAGCCCTAGGGAAAAAGGGACCAGGTTTCTGCCAGGGGAGGCAGCGGGCTGCTTGTTGGTGGGAGATCTGGTGGGGGTGGAGGTGTGCTGGGCGGGGCCGGGACACACCCCCTGGGTGTGAGCTGTGTGTGACCCACAGCCCTGGCTTTGTCATCTCGTTTCCGGGTCTCGTGAGGGCCCACGAGGTGAAGGATGCGAAAGCGCCGTCTCGTCCTTGAAGCAGCAGGCACGTAAATGGTCTCTCAAGAGTCCAAAGGGGCAGCGATAATTAGGAGTCACCATTTGAGTGGTGCTTTTCTGAGCACTGTCCGAAGCAGGGTGTTGGCTTGTTGAATCCCGTGGAGTCACGGGCTGGGGTGCCGCTGACAGGTGGGGAAACTGAGGTGCAGAGGGGGCAGGAAGCCTGTTCAAGGCCACCTGACTGCTAACGGTGCAGCCTCTTCCCTGCGTCCCCCCGCAGCACATCAGCACGAGGACGTGAGTGCCGCGGGCCTGGGGTAGGTGTCTGTAGAGACAGTGCTGTGACATCACGTGTGACCCGCACGCAGGAGGGTCCCGACAGCCCCCAAGGGAAGTGGGAGGTGACCGGCTTTAAGAGGCATGCTTTGGGGGTGGGGGTGGGCAGGCTGGGCTCCTTGCGACTTTCTCCCCTCTTAGCCACTATCCAAAGAGGCTCGGGGCACACGGAGTCCACAGCCTGCGTCTGGGCCCCACCTGCCGCACCCCGTGACCTTGACGTGCAGTTAGACCTCCTAAGCCCCGTCTCCCTCGGTTGGGAAGGGAGGTGGGTGGGTGGGTGAAGTAATGACACCCGAGGAAGCTGATGTGCTGACCCCTGGCCCTTTGTCGAACTGCAGACCTGTGGTTCAATCTCGGAGCTCCTTGTAGGTGGGGAAACTGAGGCACAAGAAGATTTTTTTTTTTTTTTTTTTGTTTGTTTTTCTTTTTCTCTTTTAGGAGCCCGTGCTGACGGGTGGCATGGCGGAGGGTGAGCCCAGCTCTGTCACGAAGGCCGGTGCCCTCGGCCTGCCCTGTGGGTCTTAGTGCCAGGCCTGGAGGCACCCTTGGTTTCTATATGACAAGCGTTCACGTGCAGCTTGCTCAACGCACAGGCGCGTGGGCTCTGGGCCCCCCCGCTCTCACGGGTGCCCCGTTTCAAACCATGAAGGTAAGATCTGCTCTGTCAGCCTGGAAGTCCTCGCCAGCCACGTGCAGGAAAGGACGGAGGGTATGCGAGGGGCAACCCCGGGGGCCTTCTGGTGGAGGTGGCGGATGGCCCAGGGCTCACTCGTGCGCAGAGCGGAGTGGGGTGCGGGGGGAGGGGGTGGTCACCGCAAAGGAGCCGCGGCTGGGGCTGTCCGTACGATGCCCTGTGGGGCCCTGGCCACAACTCGGGGTTGGATCTTGCCCCCCGTCTTACCCCCTGAGGCCGGCCCCACAGCAGGGTCCCCAGGAGAGGAGATTCGGGGCCCAGGCACGGTTTCCCCGGAGGATGAAGGTACGTGCGGTTGGAGCCGACGCTGGGGTTCTCGGCCTTTCCTCCGCTGGCTCCCTCCCCCGGGCCCGGCACCTCCAGTGACAGGTGCCAGGCCTGTCCTCAGGTGTGACACGCGCTGGACAGCTTGTCCTCCCAGGGGCCCCTCCGGATAGGTCTCCTTTGTGGCGTCCTCTTGCCCCGCACGTGACCTGCATCCGGCCCCACTGACCGGGGAGGCTGGGGTTGCTGCCCGGCTGTCCTGGCATCCTCGGGCCACCGTCTTCGGTCATGGGGGCACACCCGTCAGCCCCCCAGGTGACCCTGAGCCCCACACGGCGCGTAGTGTTGGCAGCTGGGGGGGCACAGCAGAGCGGTGAGTGTCCCGCCTCCTCCCCCTCTCGGAGCTCCTTTCCCCTGTGAGCGAGGGGGCTCCAGGGGGGGGGGGGGGGGGTGGGTTTCACCCTTTTCCTTCGTCACTTCCGTTCGTGTCGAAAGGGTTCCCCCTTGGGGTGTCACACCCCTTGTGTTCGGGCGGAAGCTCATTTACAGCTTCTCGCCGCGGACCGTTTGCGCCGAAACAAACCCGGAAACCTCGAACCTGTGGGTCCTTCCGCTCGATGGCGTGGACGTGGGTGGCTCGTCCCTCTGATGGTGTTGGATGTTTCAGACTATCCTGCCCGGAGCTTTTACGCTGAGAAAGAGGAGAGGGTTCGGGGAAGGACGGGACCCCCTGGCGGAAGGTGGATCGTGGAAAAAGGCGTGAGCAGCTTTCAAATACACTGGAAGGTTCTTGATTGGGCAGAGGGTTGGCGACTGTGGCCCTTGTGGTGCCAGTGGCCCTTGGCTGTGTGCTGAATCCGTGGACCCTTCTTAGAAGAATGTCTTTAAGGGGCGCCCGGGTGGCTCAGTCGGTTGAGCGTCCGACTTCGGCTCAGGTCACGATCTCACGGTCCGTGAGTTCGAGCCCCGCGTCGGGCTCTGTGCTGACGGCTCGGAGCCTGGAGCCTGCTTCCGATTCTGTGTCTCCCTCTCTCTCTGACCCTCCCCCGTTCATGCTCTGTCTCTCTCTGTCTCAAAGATAAATATGAACGTGAAAAAAAGTATTTTAAAAGAAAACTGTCCTTAAGCCATAACCTGAAATGTAGAATAATTATATTGAAAAACTGCCAACAAAATAACAAAATAACAAATAAATGTGGGACAGGAGATTCACCACCTGCCCCATGTTCAAAGCACCATTGGAGATGAAGCATCCTGACAGGAAGTTACGTGCCCGGGAAGGGCCAGAGGCCTCACCGATGCCCTGGTCTGTGGCCTGGCTCGTGCGTGCTTTGGTTTTCTCACCTGAGTCCCCAGCACCGCAGCACCCCCCGCCCCCCACGCGTGGAGGTCCCCTGCCGATTTCCTGGCGGGCTCTCCCCTCCCTCCACCGAGTTAGGGTAAAGTGGCTCACTTCTGGTTTCTGCCAAGGCTGGGGGCGCCGGCTCACCCCCAGGAGGCTTCCCTGGTGCCCCTGCTGGCCCCCATCCCCCCCTTCTCTATTTGCTTTAGCGCTGAGTCACAGGCGGGTGGGCCTATGAGCGCCCAACATCCCGGAGGGTCTCAGGCCTCCTCAATCCCAATAAATGCATCAATCCCCATGGATGTGATGGTCCATCCAGTGCAAACTGAGCCCATAGTACATATGGATGTGGGAGTCAAGAAGGGACATTTTCTGGTATTGTTTCGGTGGCTCTCAGACGTGAGCCTGCATCAGAGCCCCTGGAGGGCTTGGGGAACCCAGGTGGCTGGGCCCCGCTAGAGGTTCAGAAACAGCAGGCCCGGGGGGCCAGCCTGGGAATGTGCATTTGTAGCCCGTCCTCAGGTGAGGCTCACACGGCTGGCTAGGTGACAGTCACCGAGGGTGCCCCTCCCCTCGTGCCGCTGTGGGGGATCGATGGGAGCCCCCAAAGTCCAGGCCCTAACCCCCGTACCTTGAACGTGAGCGTACGTGGAAATAGGTTCAGCAGCTGCAGTTACGTCAAGGATCTTGAGACGAGATCGTTCTGTCCTTAGAGTGGGCTCTAAATAGAATGACAGGTGTCCCTGTAAGAAGAGGAGCGGACACAGATGCGGGAGGGGCCACGTGACCACGGAGGCAGCGGTTGGAGGGGAGTGGCCACGAGTCCAGGGACCCTGGAGGCTCCAGATGCTGGGGCAGGAAGGGCCCTGCCCCAGAGCCTGCAGGGAGCGCCCCGCCCACACCTTGACTTCGGGCCGGAAGTGGGAGGGAATCCATTTGCTGTTCAGAGCCGCCTGTTTGTGGTCTTTGGTCACAGCGGCCCCAGGGCACTCACACAGCCCCTGACAAGTGGTGATTAGTGGTGGTTCTTGATTTTGCGGAGCCCAACTGGGCCTCAGATGCCAAGCTCCAGGCCCGTCCAGTGGGACCAGTGCTCCAGGGAGAAAGCAGTGTGGACGGGGCCGTGCTCCTGTTTCCTGCTCTTCTCCATCAGGTGACCCCGAGCAGCTTCGGGAACACACCCAGGCACCTGCTGCCTGGGTCCAGGGCTGTCGGAGAGGGCATCCGTCTTGGGCTTGTTGCTGGGGATGCCAACCGGGGGGGGGGGGGGTTTGTGCTGGGGATGCCATCCGGGCGGTGACTTTCCTTGGGGCCGTGGCACGATCCTAACAGCCTGCTCTGGGCCCAGAGGGCGGGGGTCCATGGGGAGGCAGGTGGCTGCAAGGTGGGGAGTGGTCCAGCCCCCTTGGGGCCACCGGCCATCCTGGTGTGACCCCGGGAGCTGAGGTGGCCTGGCGGGCTCCCAGGAGGCCACTGACTGACTGACTGACTAACAGGTTTGCTAATTGATCGGAGCAATGGCAAGTGTGCTTGGAGTTCACATGGGCTTGGCCCCAGCTCTCCAGAACCCCGCTCGGGGGGCGGCCCCTTCTCTCCTCTGGCCTCAGTGTCCCGGTGTGTGACACAGGACGGAAGCAGCCTTGAGGGGTTGCAGGACTTAGAGGGGTTGGGGACAAGTGGAGGTGGCTCGTGCCGTGCCTGGCATTTCCCCACGACGTGCTGGTGCAGAGGGAGTAGCCGGCCCTACCGACAGGCTCCTGGGTGCCCCTGCGCGGCTCCCTGCACTTCCCAACGGGCTGGTCTCCCTCCCCACTGGGTGCCAGGCCCTGGTGCTCTCCTTGTTTCCAGGCTGAGGTGGCGCCTTCTGAGGACGCCCCAAGCTGGCTCCGAGCAGCTTTCACTCACACGCCCCTAGGGGAGGGGTGCACGGGGGCGGGGGATGGCACCTGACGGTGGGCTTCCTGGGGTCCCGGAGGGGCCACCTTGTCGGTCCACCGGACAACTGCCGGCCGGCCTCGGGGACAGGGGACGCGGGTTCTTCACGCTGCCCCTGCTGGCAGTGGGCTGGGGGCCCCGGAGCTGATTTGCATACAGGTGAGGACCCAAGACCGAAGGCCTGGGTGCCGGGAGGCAGGGCCGGGTGGGATGCACACACCTGGAGGGAGGCTGCCCTGCACGCACATGCAGTACCGGGGATAGCCAGTGGGGGGCAGCAGAGCTCCAGCAGCAGGTGTCCCCTTAGGCCCAGCCTGGACCTACCCTCCCTCCCAGCTCCTACACCAGGCCAGGCGGAGGGCGGGGTGGGGGTGGGCAGTCACCCCCGTGGAACTTCCGTCCCTCCCTTCTCTGCAAAGGTGTCTCCTCCTCCCACAGACCCCAAGGCCTGTGCAGGGAACTTCCTCGGGTGCCTCCGGCAGGGCTCCGTCATCGCCGTGGTAACCGGCCGAAAGGGTACGTGAGACCTGTGTGCCTGCAGTGCCCTGGGGCTGCTGAGTTCGCACGGGCTTTTGCTGACCTGTAGGTTCTGGGACGGAGGACAGCCTGGCCTGGTGGGCAGGCGGTGTGGCAATGCTAACGCGGGGGGCCAAGTCCCCACGGAGCCAGCCAGCAGAGGGTCTCGGGGCAGAGCCGTGGCTCGGCCCTGTCTGGCTGGGGGGACCCTTCCGGGTGGGTCTGGAGTGGTCTCCGTCCCGGCCCCGCCTGCTGGCCGCCACGAAGACAGTTTGGGGTCCCTTCTTCCCAGGACGGGGGGACATTTCCGTCTCCTTGGGCACAAGATGTGTCCACATCTGACGCCTACAGCGAGGACCTGGGTGCTGGGGTGACTGGCGTGGCCCAGGAGACCTTGCACGTCTATGGATGCTGTGTTCACATGGCCCTATTTCCCCGGAAGTCTGACTCTTAGTGGGCTACCCCCGCCAGCCCACATCTCGGTGTGACCCCTCCCCACAGCTCCTCGAACGTGTGCCCGGGGCCTTTACATGTGCCATGCCCCCCACACTAGGTAGGTCAGACCCCGCCCTGCCCTCACCTACTGCCTTGACTTTCTCCTTGTCTGTTCCCTGTCTGATCGTCTGGTGCAGCATACGCTCTGTTTCCTTCACTGGAATATAAACTTCGGGAGGGCAAGGACTTTATTGGATTCACTGCTGAGTTCAGGGGTTCAGAGTACTGCCTGGCACATAGTAGGTGCTCCATAAATCCCTGTTGGTTAAGTAAACAGGCGAATAGTGGATGCCCGACCCTGTGCCCAGCCCCCGAGGCCTCGTTCTACCTCTGGGCAGCCAGTGGGTGGGGGTGAGAGGGCAGAGTCCCCCCACCCCCGTACCTCCCTTTCCCGGGTCCCCTA